TCGATTAGTGATAATAAATGTTTGTCAATGAATTGATATCTATTTTTTACAGAGTATACTATACTTCTTCATGTGTTACTTAATTAAATTCGCGCCATCAGTATTGGTGAGTGTCCTGTGCTTTGGTCTAATCATTGGCCACTCGTGTCACGACATGCACGTGGGTCTGCTCACGGCTGGTCCGTGTTGGATGTTCAGCGATGTTAAGTGAGTGCCTCTTATTCCCACGGTGATCACCACCAATAGATATACCAATTGATATTCATATTTACGTTACTTCCAGAGCCAACATTACCGGCGAAACTGATGACTTCTTCTGGTCCTCACGGCTACTGATTGGTCAGACAATTGCCTCATTGTTTCTCGTTTTATACATCGGTTCGTTGTTTTAATTGTTTAAAATTTTTAGTATTGAATTAGAAAATGATTTTTATTTCCAAAATCTATTAATACTAGTAATCATATCAATCGGTTTTGTTCACCGAAATCATCTCATTTGGCAGAGAAGTCCGCTGACCAACAAGTGGTGGATATTTATATCGATCGGTTTGTTAATTAGTCACGCGTTGCTCTGTTTGATTGAAATCAGTTTATACGTGCGGTCGACACAAATCGCCACCCAATTCATCGCTTCCATTCCCGTCTACGTCTGGTGTCTGGGCTTTCTGTGGCCACTGCTTCTCCTCTCCATCAATACCTTTACTAAAAGACACGAAATCAAGTAATGTTTATATCACTGGTGTTGTCATGTCTTGTATTTACCTATTTTTGTTGTCCTCAGAGTCTACGGCCGACAGCAGCGAAGGGCACGACTAGAGTTCGGTACAAAACTAGGAATGAATTCTCCCTTTTGATTGAGAATTACAATCAAACCCTATATCTAAATCATACCTTATAATCACCGATACCTGTATTAAAGCACACGTTTTAATGTTTTTTGTTTGTTTGATAACCACTTAATTGTACTGTAGTCGTAGTCGTCACCACTTAATAGTGGTTTGTATTCCCACTTATTAGATCACATTTTTTAATTGTTATTTTCAAACTCTTAAAAATATTTTTTTTAATTTTAAAATTTATTGAAAATTATGTGCAAAAATACGCGCGAATTAAGCGCAAGATTTAGTCAAATAAGTTATTAATTATGTTATTAATTGTCACTAATTTTATTGTTTATATCGACGCTAATCACAGCCCATATTCTGAGAGGTATTTATGAGGTATTTGCCAAAAGTCTTCATTGAATTAATTGTTACGAAAATATATAATTATTTTTGAGAATTAAAAATATTTATTGCAAATAAAAATACAAATATTTAATTAAATCTACAAATCAATGCCTATTTATGCGCCAAAACCCTTAACTGTGATTACTTTTAACTGAGAAACTGATGATATATTTACACCAAAATCACAATAAGTATGAAATTATAATATATAATAGACGTGTGTTTTATCACAATTTCTCAGTAAAAAGTTTTCATTACAAGTATAAAGAATCGCTGATTATTATAATAAATCCTATTCCTCCCCATATGTTTGCCCCCTTTTTTACATAGTTTTAATACATTCACACAGTATTACACAACAGAGTTGTATAGGTTTTCAAATGAAAATATTTCAAATAAAAGCTAAATACTTAAAGTAAATGTAGATTTTATTTCTTATAATTAATGCAATCAATAGTTATCAGACAATTGATTTATAATTGTATTAATGGTAAGTTATTGTAGACAATCATCTATTAGCCGATCCCCACCATGACTGCCCGGATAGCTCAGTCGGTAGAGCATTAGGCTTTTAACCTAAGGGTCCAGGGTTCGAGTCCCTGTTCGGGCGCATACTTTTTGCACTTTTTAACAATATTTTACAATTCACATATTCAATTATTTTAATTGTTCATGTATGAATTTAATTAAAACAATTGTCTAATGGTTAATTTATTGGTCATTTACCGGTTTTTGTTAAGTTATTAATTTATTTGTTATAAATTGGATTTATTTATAGATTATAACAAACTTTCATTAAATTGGCGTAAATTTAAATGATTATAATGTAAAATGCGATTCAAATGAATAATAATATAATGATAATTAGGATAATAAACACAAGATATGAATAAATCATAACAATTAACAACTCAAGAGTCGTCTAACTTTCGCTTCATTCCCTGCGATCCATCCATCGGCTTAATAGTGACCGTTTGTGAGCCGGTCTTCGGTGTACTCGACATGGGTTTGAGGCCCGCATTCGAGTTCAGTAGCGAAGTGCCGGTCATTGAGGAGCGGAATGTTGTCGGCGTCGACGCGGGCTTTGATTTGTTTGACTTTTGCCGGTAATTACAGGCGATTAGTGAGTATCGATCGGCGGGCAGTCGCGGCCCGTTGTGTGACTTAATGGCCGGAAGTGTTTGGTTATTCTTCGTGCGGGCGATCTCTAGGAGGAGATCCCGTGGCGGCGGACCCGTGAAACCCTTGTCCACCTGTAACTGAACCGATAGACTTATGTCATCGCAATCGATGGCCTTCTTCTTGGCGTAACTCGAGAACAGATGCGCGTCTTCTAACACATTAGACACATAGCCTATCGGATGGACAGACAAAACACGCGGTCAAACAGTGGTCACCAATGAGTGGCCGTATTGTACTTACGGTACGTAAACTCCACCATTTGGTTGACAACTCGGGGCTCGTAATCAGTGATCGCCATATCCTTCAGTATTTGTGTCACAATCTGTATGTCTTTAGGCGTTGTCTTATTGGCCAGAGAGCCGCCAGAGATGGCCGGAGCGGTAGCCAGAGTGGCCGTCGACGCCGTTTTGGCCTCACTTTTGGTCATCTTCTTGGATGTGTTGGCGCCTCCTCTGCGAGGGAACAGACAGACAGTTATATCATGTGATAATCGCAGTGTCTTTGGACTCACTTTTCCATAACCACAACACGTGTGGACACAAGTGTTTGGGATTTAATTGCAAACCAAATCACAAAACAATAAATAAATTGTTGTTTTTGTCAATACATTCAAAATGAGTGTTAAATTCAAACCATTTATTCATTCATTAATGCATTTTTACAATCAATTACGGCTTAAAACACTCTTTTTGGGCTATATTTCAGTCATTATAACCCACCGAACAATTAACCCCTTTTGAAATCAGCGATTACTTCACTGCTTTGCGTATAACTACACCACTCGTAGCGTTTGCTGTGGTTATGTATGGCAGTGAAGGTTAATCACGCCTATTGTGGTGGTAATGAGCGGTGTATTTGTTAGCCCTGTTTGTGAGTGTTATCGCGAAAGTGGTGTCTATAATATGGTATTGAATTGAAGGTCAATATTGTTTGGCAAACAGTGAATAACGTATTCATTCAATACATAGACAGACAGTGAGAGGGACTCAGAGAGGGATATATTGGGAGGCATTGGGAGAGAGACTGAATGAGACATCCCTTTAATAAAAAGGCTATCAATTGTTTGTTGGACTCAACGAACAAAACATTGTATCAAAACTCGAGTCAAACCAAAAAAGCACTTCAAAGAGGAGGAGAAATGCATTGCAATTAAGGGAAACACAAATCAATAAAAGCTAAAGAAATGAAGAAAAGATAAATATATGACAAAATGTAGTGAATATATGGGAAAAGCGGCGAAAAACAAGTGCTAAACAACAATATCTATGAGAAAAAAGTATAACATATCGTGAAAAATACAGATACAGTGCATATGAATGGGTAGCGCATTGTGCACAGC